AAAATAACAACTATTTGGTTCCACATTAAGCTAATTTATACATGCTACTTACATTCCAAAAACAAAACATCAAATGAAAAACAATAAAGCATATTATGTTTTCATATGCTGGTGAATCACACATGGTAAATCACCAAAGAGAAGAGTGATTTATGCTCAAATCCGGCCAAGACTTTAATCAATATTGGGTGACACATCTCAGGAGGTTGAGAGACGTTGTAAGGAAAAAAAGAGAGTGGCTAATATTGGTCTCAGTAGTTTATATGTAACTTATGTGAAGTGTAGTACATTAAACAAAAAACAACAGCAGATTTGGACGAATCAAATGAAGAGTTAAGAAATGTGTATTAAATATAAATACAAAAAAATGTAGGGGAATTCTGAAAGAAACCTTGTTAGGTAGTTTATTCTCCACGAATATTTGAAGCTTCACCAAATAAAACATCATATGTGCAAATCACATTAAGTGTCTCAGAGCATTAACTAATAATCTGTGAAGGTCAGAAAGTAAAACATCTTCATAACTATGTGTACTTTTCACAATAATGACTACAAAATTACTGGAGATTATCTCCAAGAAAAACAACAGGTTTGAAAGACATTATCCAAATAACTCAAGAATTTTGCAATATAACTTGACTGAACAAGGTAAATCCTAGGTTAGAATTTTCTCAGGTGTTACGTATATATTAGTTATTAAATTACAATTTACTAATATTTTTTAAAGTATATAGAAATAAGTGGTAGAACCAAACTTAAACTTTTGTATTTAGGCCTTAGTCTTCTAATTATGTCATATTCTTTTTGAAATGTTATAAAAAGAAACATTAAGCTTTATAGGAGCCATTAATCGACTGTAATAGAAAAACTTCAAAAGCATAGTTTCTCTTCTTTCATTTGAAGTAATTTTTTAATTTCTCTGTGCCAAGTATCATAATTATCTGTTAGAAGTAAATCTGTATTTGTGTTGAAACTTTCTATGTCAGTGCATAAGTTTAAAAGTGCACGCCACTGAAAAACGCGAAATGGGGGAAATGTTAAATAAATGTAGACTGGTTCCGTGTGCCATCTTTATTAAAACTCCTGATTATAAAAAGATAGAGCCAAGAATTGGAAAATATTTTATACTTCTTACACTAAAATTGCATCCACATATTACAACTAAACAAAAGAGACTTGTAAAATCTTCCCATTTGCTGTCTTTGGATGTTATTAACTTTAGGGACAAAAGAATACTGTTCGTGAATATATGTATATGCATATAAAATGTCTGATAAGATTAACTGGAATCTGTTCAAGTTAAAAACTCCACAAATCTAGGGTTACATAGTACCCAAATTACAATCTGATCTGAAAGATTCTGAGACAAAATCATCTTCTGGCAATACTAAAAAAAAAATAAGCATTTTAGATAAAATTAAAGAGTCACTTCTGGTTACCTGAATTCACAGAAAATTGCATCCTAACCCAAGTCTACAAACAAAAGACTGACTCATACAGAGACTTGACTATGTACATAATTACTTTTCTTTTCTGTTGTTGTTGTTTAATGGTTACCAGTTAATTAAGTGACCTCTGTTGCAACAGCCAAGTTAATGCAACTAATGTTTAGTTTAAAAATAATAATTGAAGGAAGCTGATCAAGGTCAGCCCTGGTCCTTTGACAACTTTTAAATATATTTCCTTCCATTTTCTTTCATGTTTTGAGACCCTCACTTTTAGCTTTACTATCAAGCAGGTGATAGTCTCTGTTTCATCTCCTTGTGGTAATGACAGAAGGCTTCAACAATTATTCTAGTTTTCATAGAGAGCATACTGATGCAATAGCCCCAAGCAGATTAATCCCACTCTGAGGTTTGTTGCAAACTTACAGAGCCACTTTGGCCAAGTTTTTGAACCTTTCTTATAACATCATTTTGGTTCCTCAGATTCCCTGGTATCTAAATGCTACCAAGACACGTAATTAGATACATGTTTTATAAAAAGCTGAGAGTGCTAATATTTCATGTTTCTTATACACTATGTAGATATTGCTTTATATAGTTTCCCTTTTTGCACAGTTTCTCATATTCTCTGCATAAATCATTTCTTTAAATAGTCTCTTAAGGAGCCAGATGAGAAAAGAAAACAGAATGAAAGAAATCAATAGCCTAAGTGAATGAAAAAAGATCTTAAATGCAACGGCATAAACTATATTCGAAGGACAAAAAGTAACTTTGATTTTTTTTAAATTCAATATGCAAAATATTTTAGGAATTGCTTTTAGAGTTAAGAAATAAGACAATAACACTGGTAGTTATAATGCAAATTAATAATGCACTACACTGTAAACAGAATATTTTGGTGAAAGAGGGTTCAGTTACAAGTTTTCTATTTTCTTAGTCACTGGCAGAGTTGGGAAAACCTAGGCAGAGATCTGCAACTACACATTTTCAAAGGTTAAGGGCTGTTGTGTTTGCATGTATTTGGGTATGAGTAACTCTTGTAGTTGATAAAAGATAAAAGATCAAGATGTAGTAGGAAATCAACAAACTTACCACATATAACTTAAAAATAACCTGAAATAGAGTTTTAGAGTAACATATTTATTGCAAAGACCAGATGATTGAAATGTAATTAGAGTACTGATATGTTTTTCGAAGGGATAAACAGTTCTACTGAATTTAACTTATCTTGGCTCTAAAAGTTTATAAAAGTCCAGGAAGCAATTTTTACCTCAGAAAAAAATTAATAAATTTTGCAGATAACTTTAAGAATATTCTCCAATCATATGAAGAGGTCAATTTCAAAGTCTAAGCAAACATTTCAGGAAACAAATCAACAAGGGAATAATTGTAAGATGTGTAACACTACCTGATTTTCATTGATTATAACGCTGCAGTCTTTGAAGGAAGTTTTCTCTAGCAATTTTTTGTGTGTGTGTTACGGGAAATGCCCATTAATTATCTAGTACAGAGGATTCCAGAGCAGAGTGGTTTACTAAAGAGAAAAACACCAGCGCTTCACAGTTTACTGGATAGATAGTTTTATAACAATCATATCTGAACTGGCTTCATATTGCAACTAGCATTCCTTACAACAACTCCGTAACAATCTTCTGCCCTGAATCGAATAGGATCTCTGGCAAACACTGTAATCTTCTGTACGTCCAAGGACTCCAATTATCTTCTTAAATGACGTTTAGTGATCAAGGTTCCCCCTAAATCTTTACTGCCACCTGTCCATACTCTTGGACACGCACGCGTGACTGTACACGCGCACGATCTGAAGAGTCACCCCAAAATGGTAGAAATGAATGTTCAAACCACAGACACACACTCATTCCCCCCAGGCAAATAATGGCAAACAAACACGAAAAGTTTCTGGCTAGGTCAAGATGGGACATTTGTTGGGTTGGAGCTCGTCTTTTTCGTTACAGCCTCCTGGGGACACTAGCCAGGTGTCTTCTACCAAGGAAGAAATCGTTAGGAGCTTTTTCACCTGGCTTTTCCTTCTGGTCTCTACCTACTCCTCTTCCCTTCGCACCTCGGTTTCCCTAACTTTGCAAGGGACGCACACCCTCAAAGAGTAAAACTCCGTTCCTTCTCCTGGGCTTTAAACTCATTGGTAGCTGTGGAAGTCTCCTCGCAAATTCTGCGCGCAGTTCTCACGCGCCTGCTTCTGGGCTCCAACTTTCCCTACTCGCTTTCTCCCGGCACTAAACTTTTCCCTCTGCAGCGAACGGTGAGGACAAAGCGGAACTGTGAAAGTGGGTGAAATGACCATTTCTACCCCGAAACTGACAAGTTACCCCACTCCCGCCCCCTCTCGGTAGGTCCTCCCCCAGTGAACGTTCATTAGCATAAAACTGGTCTGGCCCGGCTCCCGGTCCCGCGGTCTCCAGGGTTCGCGCGCTTTGCCGGGATGGGGAAGCCACCTCCCTGGCTTCTGTACAGAAATCCAAAGAGCATCCCAGTGCAAAGCCTGCACCTGCTCATGGCGTGAGCTACTAACCTTTGATTTAAAAAAAAGAAAGAAAAGAAAAGAAAGAAATGAAAAGGAAAGAAAAGAAAAAGAAAGAAAAGAAACAAAGCAAAGCAAAGAACAGCTTGTCGGGGTAGAGCGCGAGCGAAATAGAGAGAGAACTGTGGTCTTCCTTCCCCACGTCTCCAGTTCAGCAACCCAGAGTCACAGGCACCCGATCACCTCCCCCTACAGAAGAAAACATGCGGGTCCTCTCGTATCTGCCCCGGGGCAAACGTACTCCTTTATCCACTTTGCACAAGCACACGCTTACACGCGGACACACGCACACATGCGCGCACAAGCAGACCCCTCCCCTCGGCGGGCTTCCCCTCAAGGTTTCGGGGCTGAACTCGCTGCGGGTCCCTCGGGATTGCCCCGGGCCTCTCGGCCTCTGAGGCGTACCCCTCCCGACCTCGAAGTGGCCCACACCCGGGACTACCGCGCTGGCTCCTCTCCCGAAGTGAGTCTTCCAGCTTCCCGAACCCTGCCGGGCAGGGTCACGACCTCCCTCCGCCCCCGGGACGCCGCTGGGCGCCACGGACCAGCCCTGCCGGTGTCCCGAGACTCGCGGTGGAAAGGGGGTCCGAGGGAGCCCACACAAGGGCAGCTGCGCCGAGAGGGGACCCCAGACGCTGGCGCGGCCCAGGGAGGGGCTGTGACTCCTGGAAAGGAGTCCTCCTCCTTCCCGTCCCCTCCGCCCCGAGGCTGGGGGTTCCCGCGTCCCCCAGCAGCCAAGCCCCTGGGGGCAGGCGGGCAAGGGGCGGACCGGGCCGGAAGAGCGAGATCTGGGCTGGGTGAGGCGGCAACTTCCCCGAGGGTCTGGAGCAGCCGGCCGGCCCGGAGGACCGGGGGCAGAGGGCCGCGCTGAGCCGGGCGCGCGGCTCGCGGGCGCGCGGAGCGAGCGGAGCGAGCGGCACGGGGAAGGGAGCGAGGGAAGAGCGAGGAGGCGGGTGGGAAGGGACCCCGGGTGGCGGAGGCTGCCCCCAACTCTTTACCTTGCGTTGGTGCAGTCATTGTAGAGGGTCTCGAAGTCCTTCCTGGAGATGAGTTTGCAGCGGTTCACTCCGGGCTGGATGGCGCCCAGTCCCCTCAGGATGCGAACCTGTTCCACATTGCACACCACGGGCGTGATCTCCAGCCGCTTCAGCTTGGTGTAGACCGTGTGCAAGCCCCCCACCAAGTGCTTCAGGAACAGGTCGAAAGCCTGGGGCAGGCAGATCAGCTCGCAGCCCTCCACCGTGAAGGAAGCCACTTTGGCCCCCCTCAGATCCACCATTTTGCACTCATTATTCTGGGGGGTGTTTTCCACTGGGGACGGGGTCGAGTACACGGGTTTCCCGGGGAGGGGGCCGCAGCTGCTGCTGCTGCTACTGCTGCTGCTGCTGCTGCTACTGCTGCTGCTGCTACTGCTGCTGCCGCTGCTGCCGCTGCCGGAGCTCGCGTGGATGGGGGTGCTGGAGGCGCCGCCGCCGCCGCCAGCGCTAATGCCGCCGCCGCCGCTCCCGCCGCCGCCGCCGCTCCCGGCCGCCAGGCTGGGGTTGCAGTTGCCGCCGCCGCCGCCGCCGCCGCCTCCGCCGCCTCCGTTGCCAGCGCTGCCGCCGCCGCCTCCGCTGCCGCCGCCGCCGCCGGTGGAGGTGCCTGTGGCCGCCGCCGCCGCCGCCGCCGCCGCCGCCGAAGCGATGGACTCCGGCCGGAACAGAGTTGGCCCTGAGGACGCCGGGGGCCCGATGGACGGAGCCGGAGACGAGGTTGCCGAGGAGGTGGAGGTGGTGGTGCCGGAGGAGGAAGCAGACGTGGAGATCGGGGGTTGAGGGGGAACCAGCTGGGTCGGAGGGATCAAAGCCGCCGGCACTGCCATGGTCACATATAAGGGGAAACCGGAGGAGGAGAAGCGGGGGGCAAAGTTGCCTCACACCCCAGGGAGGGCGAGGGGGAGACGGGAGAGCAGGAGCTAAGGGGCAGCAACCACAACAACTCCAGGAGAGAACGAGGAGAAGGGGAGAAAAGGAGGTGAGGGTAAGAAAGAGCGAGCGCAGGAGGGGCGAGCGCGAGAGGCGCTCTGGAGAGAAACGCACAAAAGTGTCCCGCAAGTCGAAACGCGAGTCCTCTCCGGGGGCTGGGATCGGGGGCCGGTTTGGGGCGGGGGGGTGGCGGGAGGGTCGGCTGTTGTTGTGTGGGTCCCGCTCTAGCACAAAGTTAAGGATGAAGGTGAAAAGGAGGAGGTTTGAAGGACTTGGGTGCTCCCTGGCAAGTACATTGATCAAAGATTGAGAGGGGAATGACAGAGAGAAAATGAGCTGAAAAGTGCAGGCTGCCGGCTGGACGAGTTGTTGTTGTCACACGGTGCAGAGGGGAGGAGCTCCGGAAACTTGAAATACCCTTTGAAGCCGCAAAAACCTCACTCACTAGTATTAACCCAAATTATCCAACCAGGAACTCGGAGCCGAGACTCCGAGAGCGCGAGGCACGAGAGAGAAAGCGAGTGAGCGAGGAAAGGAGGAGGGAAGGGGCGTGGGGGGCGGGGGGGGGGGGATAAGGAAAGAAACTGTGGGAGGGACGGAGGAAAAGCCAGAGACGCTGAAGTGCCGATCGGAGAAGGAGAGATTATCTACTTCTCTTCTACTACCGTTAGATTGTGTGTCTAATATTCTATTTCGTCCGCGATGACTCGCATTGTTTTCCAAAACCTACTAAGCAGCCGTCTGCCAACTTAAAGAGGAGCCGGAGCGCTTCAAGCTGTCCTTCAAGGATTTAAGATCCATCTCTGCTCGTTGTTTGCAATCAGATGTAAATGAAAACACATCCCCTCACTTTATGATTATTAAGAAATTATTTTGAAGAAAAGTCACATGTAAGCAATGCGTATGTTTTATGCATCTGATTTTTTTCCTATCAAATTATTTATTTGGGTAAAGATAGTGAGAATCTGAGGACAGTTTTCAAGTTGTGGGTAAAAAGTCAGTCTGAAATCGCTTAAGAATAATGGAATGCTCTGTATTTAGTTCCTTATTTCCTAATAGGTTGTGGAAAGAAAGAAATGCTTGCCCTAATGTGGATCGCTCAGAATAACTTCACTTTTGCCCCAGAGGGAGGTCAGAATGCTCATTATACTTAAAGAATTCGAAATCATCAGGCACCCTTGAAGATTTAGAAAGTAGTAAACAAGAAAGCACTGATTTTTCTTATCTAAAACTCTATAATTAATTCACCTGTCTTGCACAGTAATCAACTGTCCTCATACCTTTCTTTTAAGATCCAAAGCTAGTTGCTAATGTTATATAAGTATCTACTTTTTTAATATTTAGAAAGTCCTTTTCAGTTTGTCAGTGAAAATGTGTTTTGTAAATAATGAAAAGAACAAAAACAAAGCTCACTGCCTGACTTGTAAAGACAGATAGGGTAGCTATGCTTAAAAACAACATGAGGCTAAATTGAGAATGACTCTTCCCCCTTGCATTTCTTTCCCTTTTTCTTCCCTTTTCTAACTTGTTGCATGAAGATATTCATTTAAGGGTTTTTGAACAGAATATGATTTGAACATAGGTCAAGTCTGTTCTCTGTTTATATCTCTAGGAATTCTAATTAATAAAGCTTTAACCCTGTCTACACATGTTCATTAACTTCACAAGACAGAAACAATGCTTTAGCATTTGACAGATTTTTAAAATAAACTATTAGCACCAGGTTCATAGTATTGAGAAATTTCATAATGAAATTTCAGCCATTTGGGTATTGAAATTACCACATTTCTCCTTATCATTTCAGTTCTTTAAACTTTTTGAAGATTAGTGTCAAAAGGTGCAGGGAATAGCTACAGAGACATATGATACTATTGACTAATTTGTCTAAGTTTATGCCAAACTTTTTGGGGCATAGCAGTTATATCAGGAGCCTTTCCTGGGTCATAAGAATTCAGAAAATTAATTATTGCCAAGAAGTAGATAAACTTCTACAAAGATAACTAAAATGTAAAGAATTGTTTGGCCTAGTTATTTTAATAAATTATTATTTAATATACTGTTATTAGACCAATATACTTTAACATATTCAGAAATAATTTATCTCAATTTTTCATGCCTCATATCTGTTCTTATTTAAAAATAGAAATTTAATAAATATCACATACATCAAAACACCTCCTTATGTGTTTATGCATGTTTTGGAAAATACTAGCTTTAAAAATATTAGTGTAAAAATATTTAAAAATATTAATGTAGTCAAGTTACTACATTAATGAGTGGAGGAGAGAAAGAAGATATTAAGCCCTGAAAAACTAATTTTATTTTGGAATTGCATGCACAACTTTAATAAACTTCGATATAGTTTTAAAAATGCTAAACTACAGTTTCTCCATTTTAAATTCTAGATCTGCAAATGGAAAAAAAAATGGAATTAAGTGCTCCAAATGTGCCCTTACCATTCTCATTTCTCACGTTTCCTTAAGCCGTCACTCACCAACTACCTGCCACATTCACAAGCCACAGATGGGAAGTAATGATAGCTGACCAAACCGTAATCCCACTCTGCTGGGAAGCAAACTCCAAATTTTCTGCAGGGAAATCTGTGCCTCCCAGCACGTGCTCCATTCAGAAGCAGGGCTTTGGGCGTCTGTCCCCACCTAAAAGGGAGCTTCCTCTCCCCTCACCCCTACCTCTGCTCTCTAAACCGCTTCTAGGAACTATCACTCACTCTTTTGATCAAACAACAGGATTAGAAAAAGCATATAATGCAAATTAAAATATATAGGAAAGAAAAGCCTTGAAGGTTTTTAAGATGTTTTTTAAAGAATTGTTACCAATGATTAAGGCAAACAGTATTTAGCAAGAGATAAATAGACTCCACAGAGATTTCAAATTTTCACTTTTCCCATCGCATCTTTAACTTTCAAAGCTTTTGTCTTGTTTGTTTGTTGTTTTACTTCTCTGGTTGTTTCAGGTCCTCTCCTTCCATCTCTTCTTCTCCAACCTGCACTCAATTTGCATAAGCAAAACTCAGAGTACTGTAACTGATATTAGAAAATTCTCCCTGTGTTTTGTGAAGACGTATTGTGCTGAAATCAATAAGACTGTTTAAAATTCAAAGGCCTGCAAATCGTTCTGTTTGTCCTTTGATAGGGCCTGTGCTGATTAAAATGCTACCAAGAAAGCTTAATTGCTGCACTAATTAAGAAGTCTTTAATTTCTTTCCTAGGATACCCTTTGAAGCTGAGCTTGTACCAGTTCAGGAAAGGTATTTTCTTCCCTCCCTCTGCCCCCTCCTGGCCCCTCCCCTCCTCTTCCCCCTCCTCCTCCCCCTCCTCCTCTGCCCCAGACAAGATCTCTATGAATGGGAACTAATAGAGAGAGTGGTCTCAGGTCTCACCATCTATTACTTAACAAAAATCTGCCCAGGGATACAGAGTTCAGTGCAGTATGAAATGCAGTGTTGAGAAGAGCTGTAAGGTTGCAGGAGACAGTAGGAAAATGCAGAGTAGTTGTTGCAGCTGAAGTCCCCGTGAATACCTGGGATGGCAAGAGGCACTTTAGCTGGAAGATGAGGGCATCCTATTTGGTTAAAAGGGGCAGAGACAAGGAAAATGCTTGTATTGAAACAGGGAAACATAAACATATACTTTCAAAACCTTTGATTTTTTTTTAAAAAAAGACGGATAAATGTGTAGAAATATGGACCTATAGTTGGGACTTGGTAAGTATCATTTTACCTTTTGAGTATAAAATCATGAATTCTATAGGGATTTATTTTTGACCTTTTTTTTAACCCAAGGAGGCATAGCACTGTATTACATCCATTTCGTCCTTATCTATTGACCTCTTTTATTCACTGATATCTCAAGTGGGGAAACTGACTAAATGATTTCACAAAGCTTTCTCTGTAATCAATAGTCATTTTTTAGGTTTATTCATGCTGCATTATAATTCTGGTAAATGACTGCAAAGTAGAAGATTGTCAGAAAGATACAAATATTGACAGAGTCAGGATAATTCATGTCTTTAAATCTTCAGAATTTCAATATAGCAACTGATACAGTTATTTGAAAGAAAAAGATTGAAAATGTATATTTATTAGAATATAAAACCTGAAGTGATTGAGCAACTGGCAATACATATTTAAATATGTGTCTTGAATATCTCAAAATTTCCTGAAGCTTTGAGTACCCTGTTTATAGCATCCCTAAATGAAATAGAAACAATTTGGGCATGTGCAGACAGGGCAACAAGAAAAGGGTCATTACAATTTTATTCTTTTAATTTTTCCCCAAGTTCTATTAGACGCATGCACAGAAAAATACAGATGTATACTTCAGATGTATACTGAATCCCTTTCAGTGACAGGACAAGGAGATAACATGCTTAATAGATTCAAAGGCAGACTTACCATTCCGAGCACGACGTCACTCTAATTATGTTTACTCTAATTGAAAGCAAGGTTTTTTGGAATCTGAAATTACTTTCGGAATTTTTTTTTTAAATAATGCAAGTGGATCAAATGTTGATCACAAGCATTTCCATCTTTCAAAATGTATTGGAAAATTAAATGAAAAGTGGAGTTTGGTACGAACAATGCCCCAGGGCAAAAAACAACTAACACTAGATTTTCCAGTCCAGCCATAACACAAATCAATTTGAGCACACTTCTATGGCCAGACTGCCAGATTGTTATGACTGCTAATTCACTCAATCAAAGAGTGCATTAGCACACCCGGCACAAATAGCTTTAACAATAGAGTGCACTTCTGAACAATTCTAAGATATATCACAACGGAGAAGTAAAGAGGAAGATCATCTTAACATCTACATATTTACTGATAGACTTGTGTCCTTAACAGGAAAAAAAAAAAACTGAGATAAATTTCAAGCAGAGGTTTATTAAAGAGCTATCCAAGTTTGGCAAATTTAGAAAGATATCAGGGTACCAGTAGTTCACTGACTTTGTTAAACGTTTCTCAGGAGAGAGTCCAAAATTGATGTTTGCACTTCAGTAGTAAATCATTGAAGATGGAGAAATTATGCCAAGTAACTCTCTCAA